GGAAATACATAAAAGACCACTGACTCTAGTTCACTAATTTATTTATGCCTATAAATTTAAGGCTGTAATTTTTATTCTTGCATAAACTATCATCATTTCATTCAACACCTGTATCTTTTTAAAAATACTATTTACTGATTAATGTTAGAGAAAGAGGAAGAGACAGGAGCGAGAGAAAGAGAAGTACCCATTTGTTGTTCCACTTATTTATGCATTCGTTGGTTGATTCTTGTATGTGTCCTGACCAGGGATCAAACCCGCAACCCTGACCTATCAGGATGATGCCTTAACCAACTGAGCCACTGGGTCAAGGCTCAACACCTCTATATCTTGAACTTTGTATGTGTCAGGGCTTGTGCTGAACACTAGAGACAAGAGGGTGCTGGACATGCTCTTTGTCTCATGAATGTTAGAAGTAGTGCAGACAGAAATGTTAAATAAATTATTACGCCAAATATATTCACATGGACAAATTGTGCTAAATATAATAAAGGGGGGAAAATAATATTGAGAGAAAAATATGTCTCCTAACCTAGAATTTAGTATACTTGAATCTTCAAAATAATTCATCTTTTATATAAGGTGTTTCTTATCAATCAGCATGATCTATGAGTCTAGGCTGGGGAATGTGGAACATCCTGTCCTTCCTTTTCCCATCTCTCTTCCTTCCTCTCCCCCAGGTGCCAGGTACCAATTTCTTTCCCCCCCTCCCTCCTTCAGAAAAGACAAACAGACAAACAAACAAAAAATAGGCCCCACTTAGATCCAATTATGAAAACCAGACCCTAGAAGAGCCAGCAGTCGTCTAGAATTAGCCATGACAGTGTTCTGCCTGCTGTAAGCGGGTTGTGAATGTGAAGTGAGAAAGCATTAAGTAAATAAGCAGACACACCACATATCAAGACTCAGGGGGTTGGCCATGGGCCCAAACCCTATGTTCATTTTTCTGTTCTCATTTTGCTTGGCTCCTTGGCAGCATTTCAGCGTTGACTGCCTCCTTCTTGAAACCCAACGCCTCCTGGCACACTTATTTCACACCCTACCTTCCATCTCTCTAGCCACTCATTCTCCACCTTATCTCTAAATGTTGGAATGATAAGTCCCAAACAGCAGAGCCCAGTCTAGAAGGTTGGAGCCTAGCCCCAAAGAGCCGAAGCTAACTGGGTTGTGAATCATGTGGGCCACTTGCTTGCATCCTTCTTCTGAAAATGAACATCTACCCCACTGACTGAGCATGGGGGGGAGGAG